GGGCTGTTCCCCAACCCACATGGTGAATCTCTGAGGCAAGAAAATCCGCCAATAAGCGCAGGACCCACCAAGATGGAGGAGGAACTTTGTCACAATTGATTTCCATTACAACACAGACTACAAAGTGTACAGTGCTCACTTTTTTATTACTTTGATTACAAATATTTGCACTGTAAAAAAACAAAAGAAATAGTATTTTTCAATTCACCTCCTGCAAGTACTGTAGTGCAATCTCTTTATCATGAAAGTTGAACTTACAAATATAGAATTATGTACAAAAAAAACTGCATTCAAAAATAAAATGTAAAATTTTAGAGCCTACAAGTCCACTCAGTCCTACTTCTTGTTCAGCCAGTCACTCAGACAAACAAGTTTGTTTTCATTTGCAGGAATTAATGCTGCCCGTTTCTTGTTTACAATGTCATCTGAAAGTGAGAACAGGCATTCTCATGGCACTGTTGTAGCCGGCGTCGCAAGATATTTATGTGCCAGATGCACTCAAGATTTATATGTCCCTTCATGCTTAAACCACCCTTCCAGAGGACGTGTCCATGCTGATGACGGGCTCTGCTAGATAACCATCCAAACCAGTGCGCGGATTGACGCATGTTCAGTTTCATCATCTGAGTCAGATGCCACCAGCAGAAGGTTGATTTTCTTTTTGGTGGTTCCAGTTTCCGTGTCAGAGTGTTGCTCTTTTAAGACTTCTGAAAGCATTCCCCAACCTTGTCCCTCTCAGATTTTGGAAGGCACTTCAGAGTCTTAAACCTTGGGTTGAGTGCTGTATCTATCCTTAGAAATCTCACATTGGTACCTTCTTTGCGTTTTGTCAAATATGCTGTGAAAGTGTTCTTAAAATGAACATGTGTTGGGTCATCATCCAAGACTACTGTAACATGAAATATATGGCAGAATGCAGGTAAAACAGAGCAGGAGACATACAATTCTCCACCAAGGAGTTCAGTCACAAATTTAATTAGAGCATTATTTTTTAAATGAGCGTCATCAGCATGGAAGCATGTCCTCTGGAATGGTGGCCAAAGCACGAAGGGGCATATGAATGTTTAGCATATCTGGCACATAAATACCTTGCAATGCTGGCTACAAAAGTGCCATGCAAATACCTTTCTCGCTTTCAGGTGACATTGTAAATAAGAAGAGGGCAGCATTATCTCCTCTAAATGTAAACACTTGTTTGTCTTGGCGATTGGCTGAACAAGAAGTAGGACTGAGTGAACTTGTAGGCTCTAAAGTTTTACATTATTTTGTTTTTTGAGTGCAGTTATGTAACAAAAAAACCTACATTTGTAAATTGCATTTTCAGGATAAAGAGATTGCATTACAGTACTTGTATGAGGTGAATTGAAAAAATACTATCTCTTGTTTATCATTTTTACAGTGCAAATAATTGTAATAAAAATAATCATATAAAGTGAGCACTGTATATTTTGTATTCTGTATTGTAAATGAAATCAATATATTTCAAAATGTAGAAAAACATCCAAAAATATTTAATAAATTTCAATTCATATTCTATTGTTTAACAGTGCGATTAATTAAAGATTAATTAATTAATTTTTTTTAGTTAACTGCGATTAGTCAACACCCTAGTCTTTAGTAACTTTAGTTATGCCTGTTCAAATCCAGCCAGAACAGGTGGCTTAGAGGCAAACAGCTCCATTGCCTGTTATCTGTCCCCTTACAATTTACAGGTCTTCACAATCCCTTTCACTGAGCTGGAAAAGCCAGCCTACCCTGAGTGTGAGGAAGAAAAGCGGAGCTCTGGACTCACCAGGTTTGTCAGGAAGAGCCTGCGGAATGTCTTGGGAGACAACATGGACAGCTATGTTTGCTTCTGACTTCATGCATCTTTCAGCATCTTTGCTAGACAAAACAACGGAACGGTTTTGGTTCTCTGGACAAGCTGCACTGCAGAAGTTTGTCAAATGGTTGAGAGCAAAAATGGAGCTTTATAAACACAAGGACTAAATGTAGGGCACACATTCAAATGAAGGTATGGTGACAGTGGTTGTATAGTCTGAGACATCTTCTAATGTGCATGTGTAGGGCTCTACCAATTTCATGGCTGTGAAAAACATGTCATGGACCATGAAATAAGCCCTTCCCTGTGAAATCTGATCTCCCCCTGCTGCTGGGATCACCCCAGGCGGGGGCTCCTAGCTGCTAGTTGTGGCCAGGTAGGAGAGGCACAGGACTTGTCCTTTCACTGCATGTCCTCTCTCAGTCGGGAGATCAGACCCACCTCCAAAGGCAGTGCAGAAGTGAGGGTGTATCACCCTCAGTTCTGTGCTGCAGCAGCCCCGCAACTCAGGGCGCCCAGCCTAGGGGCTTCCGTGCGTTGGCGCCTGTCACAGCTTGGGGCACCTAGGCTTGGGCTTTCTGCCCCCGCGGCACCAGTCAGGGGTCAGGGCACCCAGGTTCAGGACACCCAGGCTTGGGGCTTCTGCCCCCATGGCTCTTGCCAGGGCTCAGGGTGCCCAGCCTCAGGGCTTCTGCCCCCCCAGGGCTCCTGCTGGGGCTCAGGGCTTCTACCCCTACGGCTCCAGCCGGGGCTTGGGACACCCAGGCTCGGGGCTTCTGCCCCTGCAGCTCCAACTGGGGCTTCTACCCCACGGCTCCTGCTGGGGCTCAGGGCTTCTGCCCCCCATGTCTTCTGCCAGGGCTTGGGGTTTCTGCCTCCACAGTTTGTGCCGGGGCTTGGGGTGCCCATTTCTCCAGGGGGCCCTGTAGCAGGGTGGTCACCCCGCTCCTGCCTGGATGGGCTTAAAGCAGCCCGGGAGAGGGCTGTGGCAGAGAAAAGCTGGGCTGATGGGGAAAGCAGCCAAAGCTGTAGCCAGTGCAATCAGGGCCCAGCTGGCCCTTATAAGAGGGCATTGGGCCAGAAGCAGAGAGAGACTCTTTCTCTAGTCTGTTGAGAGGGAGGGACCTGGTTGCTGGGAGCATACCAAGGTACCTGAGCTGGAGCAGGGCTGGGGGAAGGCCCAGGGAGCTCTGGCCTGGAAACCCCCAGGCTGCAGCCTAGTGGAAGGCCGAATAGGTACTGGGGTTGCAGAGGGCAGCCCAAAGGGGTAGGTAGAAGCAGCAGGTCCAAACCCCCTTGCCTGTGATGAGTGGCATTTATACTGCAGTCTGCTAGATGGAGACTGGGCAGTAGTCAAAGACTGAGGCAAGGTGGGGATAGTGGGTGGGGGTTCCCTGGGGAGGGGAGACCCAGAGACTGAGGGGTGTACTGCCAGGGGGCAGTACCCCAGTGTGCAAGGGGCACCGGGTCCAGGCGGGACATGGGGGCCAGGAAAAGCGGGACACCGGCCTGCAGAGAGCACTCTGATGGCTGGAGAGCTAATTTCCAGAAGGTACCAGCAGGAGGCGCAGCAGGGGTGAGTCCCGCACGCTTACAGGCCCCAAATTGGCCAGGGCAGGACCCGTGCATTAATCCGCCACTGGCTAGGACTAGCAGGTAGGAGCCCCCAGCTGTAGCACTTCCAGGAGCATGGGGGAGGTCGGACCCACCTCCACCTCTGGGAACATCCTCCAGCTGCATGAAGCTCTGGGGCTGCTGCCCAGCCATGGAGCTTCCTGCAGCCAGGAGAGATAGCCCGAGGTGGGTCTGATCTCCCCCCTAAAGGGGTCATGCAGGGAAAGAGTAAGTCCTGTCCCTCCCCAGCCAGCTGTACATTGGCCAAACCGGACAGTCTCTACGCAAAAGAATTAATGGACACAAATCTGACATCAGGAATCATAATACTCAAAAACCAGTGGGAGAACACTTTAACCTGTCTGGTCATTCAATGACAGACCTGCGAGTGGCTATCTTACAACAGAAAAACTTCAAAAACAGACTCCAACGAGAGACTGCTGAGCTGGAATTGATATGCAAACTAGATACGATCAACTCAGGATTGAATAAGGACTGGGAATGGCTGAGCCATTACAAACATTGAATCTATCTCCCCTTGTAAGTATTCTCACACTTCTTATCAAACTGTCTGTACTGAGCTATCTTGATTATCACTTCAAAAGTTTTTTTCACTTACTTAATTGGCCTCTCAGAGTTGGTAAGACAACTCCCACCTGTTCATGCTCTCTGTATGTGTGTATATATATCTAAGGTGCCACAAGTACTCATGTTCTTATTTCAGATGTGAACGTCTGAAAACGTAAAATTGACTAACTTTCAAATCCAATGGCTGTGAAATTGACTAGAATGGACCATGAATTTGGTAGGGTCCTATGCATGTGAAGGTTTTTTCACGTGGTGACTCACCTGAGATTTATCTCAGACATGAATATTACTATATTGCACTTCAAGCTCTTTGGAACAGGGACTGTCTTACTGTACAACACTTAGCACAAAGGAGCCCTGAGACTGAAGTCTCTAGATGCTACTGTAATGCAAATAATAAATAATACTAAACCATTCACAGATTTTAAAGCCAGAAGACACCATTATGATAGTGTAGCCTAAACTCCTGCATAACACAGGCTGGTGATGCTACACAGGGCTGTGTAACGTAAGGCATTAGGAGGGAGGCAAGCAGCATTCTCCACCTACAGACTGAAGGGTAAATGTGGGCAAAAGAGGTTGCTCAAAATTGCAGAGAATACTTGTGACAGAGTTGGAAATAGCACCCTGGGGTCCTGATTCTCAGTCCCCCACTCTAAGCATGAGAACCCATCCCCTCTCAGGAATAATATCTACTGTCTGAGCTTCTGGAGGAAACATTCTTGCACATCTCTCCTCAGAAGTTCCCTCCTCTTGGAAGTCTTGAAACTCAACACCCTGACCATCTCTAAGCACATGTCCTAACAATATTCATGACAAAGAACTGTGAATACAAACTGTACCTCGCATGCCCTTTCCTCCATCTCTCTCTGTCCCCCAGAGTTCTTGGAAGTTGTCTGTCAGACACAAAAATGGAAGAACGTAGCCAAGTATTTTCCTTACTTGTTAAAGGTTCTCTCTTTGGGCATAAGGGATTTTGGGCAACGCTTACTGGAATAAGGTTTGGTATGAAGACAGGATTCTTTTTTTCCAGCACGCAGGAGACTGCTGCAGACTGGTTGAGATAGGAAGATAAGGTAGAAGTAGGATCTCTTCTGTAACTAACTCTGTTCATTTGGGGCAAGGAGGAAGGTGTCTCGGTCTGCAAGTCTGAATTCTGTTTATTGATGCAATCTTCTGAGAGACAGAAAGGAGCTGTGAGATCTTCAAATGCCCTGTCTATAGCTGCAGTCAGTTCCTTCCTGCATCTCCTTAGTTTTTCTGACATCTCACCTAGAAGGGATGAGGTTTCTAATTACACACTGTATTGTAACCATATAAGGAAAGTAAAAGACAACTGCAGTAAGAATAATAAATCAATTATATTGGTACCCGGAAAGATAATGGAGCAAATAATTAAGCAATCAATTTGCAAGCACCTAGAAGATAATAAGGTGATAGTAACAGTCAGCATGGATTTGTGAAGAACAAATCATGTTAAACCAACCTAATAGCTTTCTTTGACAGAGTAACAAGCCTTGTGGATGTGGGAGGGGAGAAGCAGTAGATATGGTATATTTGACTTTATTAAGGTTTTTTTATACTGTCTCCCATGACCTTCTCATAAACAAACTAAGGAAATACAATCTAGATGGAACTAGTATAAGGTGGGTGCATAACTGGTTGGAAAACCTTTCCCAGACAGTAGTTATCTGTAGTTCACAGTCAAGCTGGAAGGGCATATCAAGTGAAGTCCTGCAGAGAGAAGTTCTGGGTTTGGTTCTGTTCAATATCTTTATCAGTGATTTAGATAATGGCATAAAGAGTACACTTATGAAGTTTGCAGATGATACCAAGCAGGGAGGGTTGCAAGTGCTTTGGAGGCTAGGATTAAAATTCAAAATGATCCAGACAAACTGGAGAAATGGTATGAAGAAAATGGAACGAAATTCAATAAGGACAAACGCAAAGTACTCCACTTAGGCAGGAACAAACAGTTGCACACATACAAAATAGGAAATGACTGCCTAGGAAAGAATACTGCGGAAAGGGATCTGGGGGTCATAGTAGATCACAAGCTAAATATGAGTCAACAGTTACTCCTGGGGGAATTCTGCGCATGTCCATAATTAATGAGCCATGCATACTTTTATTTTTTTGCACAGAAAAAAAATTCTGCCAAAAATGTTGCTGCAGTTCTGCCTTTTGCCCACAAGAGTGCTGTGGTGATAGAACATAGCAGCAGTTCCTGGCCAGCTAGGGAAGAGAAAAAGCCTGCACTGCCTTCTTCACAGCACCTGTCAGGCCAGGTCAGGAGACGGGGCTATGGGGAGACAGACAGCATGGGGCTTCTGGGGGGTCAGACGGGACTCACAAGGGCTAGTGGGGGAGGACAGACTGGGGCACAGGGGCTCAATGGGAGTGGAGGCACAGGGGTAGGGAGGTGAGAGCTACATAGAGACAGAGGGTGGCTGAGTGGGGCACAGCGACACATGGGGACAGGGGGAGGGGATGGAGGGACACATGGGGAGAGGATCAGATGTGCTGATTGAATGGGAGAGGCTAGGGGTCAGCCAGGGTCTGCATGGGGGAAGCTCTCTAACAATCCCTCCCCACGCCCCAAAAAACCTGTTCCATACTTTTTGCATCGATACCCAACAACCCTCCAAGTTCACACCCTAGGCTTCTTCCCAGCAATTACTTCCCTCTCCCTTAGCTCCTCCATTACCCCTAACTCCCCCAAGCCTTTGCACTGCTTCTGAGGAGTGCAGGAAATATGCTTCTGTATTGTAGTTTAAACGAATTATTACTCCAAGTTCAGTATCAATATGCCTAGTAAGGAATCTATTTGTCAAAAAACATTTCCTGAATCTTTTTTGTTCTCTGTACTGTTACATACATACGTGCTGACAGCTATTTTGAAATAAATGACCAAAAATAATTGAAACTGGTGTGATTATATTGTGTTATTTTGACAAATAAAATATGCAGAATTTGAAAATATTGTGCCCAGAATTTCTCATTTTTTGTTGCAGAATTTAATTTTTTGGCGCAGAATTTCCCCAGGAGTAAACAGTGTAACACTGTTGCAAAAAAAGCAAACATAATTCTGGGATGTTGTAAGCAAGACACAAGAAGTAATTCTTCCGCTCTACTCCACGCTGATTAGGCCTCAACTGGAGTATTATGTCCAATTCTGGGTGCCACATTTCAGGAAAGATGTGGATAAATTGGAGAAAGTCGAGAGAGAGCAACAAAAATGATTAAAGGTCTAGAAAACATGATCTATGAGGGAAGATTGGAAAACTTCGGTGTAATGGGTTGAACCCCCCCATCCGGTGCCACCTGATGTGCTGGGGTCCCACTGGTTCCGCCTATTCCACCAGACTGGGTTTCCTCACCCTGACCTAGCTGTGCCAGGCCCTCAAGCCTTCCCTAGCACACACACAGGTAAGGACACCCAGCTGCAGACAGACTGAAATCAGTTCTGTAGGGAAGATTCAGCTCAGGAATTTACTCAGCACTCATGTGCACACCTCCTTTGGAGTGTAAACCCAATATAATATTGTCTTGCGCTGTAGAGAGATCTGCACAGCGCAAACTCATACAAATTGCCCCCTCCCTCAATGTGGAGAAAGATATGCACAGCTTTTTGCACACACACACACCCATAAGAATTGTACAAACTGGGATTTGTAATAAATGAAAAATAAGTTTATTAATTACAAAAGGTAAATTTTAAGTGATTAAAGGGATAGCAAACAGAACAAAGCAGATGGAGCAAATAAAACAAAACATGCAAACTAAACTTAATACACTTAAGAAACAGGTTACAAAATGTAATTTCACACCCTAAATGTTGTTTTAGGCAGATTGCAGAGTTTCTGTAGCTTAGAGTTCCAGTTATTTCTCTTTACAGACTGGACCTCTGTCTCAGCCTGGACTTAGCCCCTGCCTTTCCCTTCAGGTCTTTTTAGCAATCTTCCTTCTTGGACAGGGAGGCAATGGAGAAGAGTCTTGATTGCCATACTCCCCAGCCTTAAATAGAATTTACGTAAGGCGGGAATCTTTTGTTTCCCAGTCTAGCCCCCCACCCCCTCTTAATGGAAAAAACACTGAAAGTCCAAGATGGGAGGTCTAGTACCAGGTGACCCGATCACCTGACCCTGTAGTGTCAAAGCAGCAACCCCGGGAACTTCTCAGGAAGGCGGGAGAGTAGTATCTTTCAAGTCTTATTGTTCTTCCTAATGGCCCATTGAGGCTGATTGCCTACTCTCTGATGGGCGTTCCCCCAAATACACACACAGTTGTAATTGTTACATAGTCAATATTCCTAACCTCAGATACAGAAGTGATACATAGAAATTGGATAAACACATTCAGTAGATCATAACCTTTCCAATGATACCTCACATGACCCATATTGCATAATACATCTTAGTTATGCCATATTCATATCATAATATGGGGAAGCAAAAGTGGATGGGAACCTGGGAGGCAGTGACCATGAGATGGTCGAGTTCAGGATCCTGACACAAGGAAGAAAGGAGAGCAGCAGAATACGGACCCTGGACTTCAGAAAAGCAGACTTTGACTCCCTCAGGGAACAGATGGGCAGGATCCCCTGGGAGGATAACATGAAGGGCAAAGGGGTCCAGGAGAGCTGGCTGTATTTTAAAGAATCCTTAATGCAGTTGCAGGAACAAACCATCCCAATGTGTAGAAAGAATAGTAAATATGGCAGGCGACCAGCTTGGCTAAACAGTGAAATCCTTGCTGATCTTAAACGCAAAAAAGAAGCTTACAAGAAGTGGAAGATTGGACAAATGACCAGGGAGGAGTATAAAACTATTGCTCAGGCATGCAGGAATGAAATCAGGAAGGCCAAATCACACTTGGAGTTGCAGCTAGCAAGAGATGTTAAGAGTAACAAGAAGGGTTTCTTCAGGTATGTTAGCAACAAGAAGAAAGTCAAGGAAAGTGTGGGCCCCTTACTGAATGAGGGAGGCAACCTAGTGACCGAGGATGTGGAAAAAGCTAATGTACTCAATGATTTTTTTTGCCTCTGTCTTCACGAACAAGGTCAGCTCCCAGACTGCTGCACTGGGCAGCACAATATGGGGAGAAGGTGACCAGCCCTATGTGGAGAAAGAAGTGGTTCGGCACTATTTAGAAAAACTGGAAGTGCACAAGTCCATGGGGCCGGATGCGCTGCATCCGAGGGTGCTAAAGTAGTTGGCGGATGAGATTGCAGAGCCATTAGCCATTATTTTTGAAAACTCATGGCGATCGGGGGAGGTCCCGGATGACTGGAAAAAGGCTAATGTAGTGCCCATCTTTAAAAAAGGGAAGAAGGAGGATCCGGGGAACTACAGGCCAGTCAGCCTCACCTCAGTCCCTGGAAAAATCATGGAACAGGTCCTCAAGGAATCAATTATGAAACACTTAAAGGAGAGGAAAGTGATCAGGAACAGTCAGCATGATTCACCAAGGGGAAGTCGTGCCTGACTAACCTAATTGCCTTCTATGATGAGATAACTGGCTCTGTGGATGAGGGGAAAGCAGTGGATGTGTTATTCCTTGACTTTAGCAAAGCTTTTGATACGGTCTCCCACAGTATTCTTGCCGCCAAGTTAAAGAAGTATGGGCTGGATGAATGGACTGTAAGGTGGATAGAAAGCTGGCTAGATCGTCGGGCTCAACGGGTAGTGATCAATGGCTCCATGTCTAGTTGGCAGCCGGTTTCAAGCGGAGTGCCCCAACGGTCGGTCCTGGGGCCGGTTTTGTTTAATATCTTTATTAATGATCTGGAGGATGGTGTGGACTGCACTCTCAGCAAGTTTGCAGATGACACTAAACTAGGAGGCGTGGTAGATACACTAGAGGGTAGGGATCGGATACAGAGGGACCTAGACAAATTAGAGGATTGGGCCAAAAAAAACCTGATGAGGTTCAACAAGGATAAGTGCAGAGTCCTGCACTTAGGACGGAAGAATCCCATGCACTGCTACAGACTAGGGACCGAATGGCTAGGTAGCAGTTCTGCAGAAAAGGACCTAGGGGTCACAGTGGACGAGAAGCTGGATATGAGTCAACAGTGTGCTCTTGTTGCCAAGAAGGCTAATGGCATTTTGGGCTGTATAAGTAGGGGCATTGCCAGTAGATCGAGGAACGTGATCGTTCCCCTTTGTTCGACATTGGTGAGGCCTCATCTGGAATACTGTGTCCAGTTTTGGGCCCCACACTACAAGAAGGATGTGGAAAAATTGGAAAGAGTCCAGCGGAGGGCAACAAAAATGATTA